GACCGCTGTTCACATCCCGAGGAATGTCTTCATAACGACAAGAACTCGCACTGCAATCAGAGTCCGTACTCCAGTCGATGTGAATGTAATGCAGGCTTTGTTTACGACAAATACAAAAGCATTTGTGCCCCGGGTTTGTCACCATTTGATCCATACATGCATTCATTCACTTCACTAACCATTGTATTGATGCGTTTAGAGACCAAGAATGTGCGGAAGGGCTCGAACCCGGCGCTCATGATTCCCACGGCGGCCGGCCTTCTCATGGCCTGCTTTAGCCTCCTGTGCTGTTGTGCCCTCATATGGCATAACCTCTGCCGTAGACATGATATTATCAACAGAAACGCAGCCAACGGAGCGTCGAGTGGCGCCAGAAGTCGTCGCACAGGAGGCGATGCCAGACGTGGAACTGGTGTTAACCGAAGGAATCAGACAAATGAGACTCAAGTGTCGGCCCATTTGCCGCCATACGAGTCAATACTGATTGACAGCATGAATAACGATCCGCCGCCGACTTATGAGGACGCCATCAAAGACACCTCACATCCCACACAACACACCCCACACACGGACACCGCGGAGACCAAGATCACATAACAGGTCCCGAGTCTCACGTTTAGAGCAATTTCATGTCGGATTCACCGAAATATCGGATATTTTTATATGTTTTATAATTGAATATTGAGTTGATTTAGTCTGTGATGAATGCATTCAATGCTTTCTTACAATTTGTTTCTCATTCGCTGAAGATTTCGTTTCAATGCATTTTCAGTCAAACTGTATTTATTCATCACTTCTCACCGATTTGTAAATTTTTTATAATGTATTTATTATTATACGCCAATTATGAGTTCATTTTATATTGCATTACAATTTATAGATTTTTATCGCTTTTATATATACTGTATCATTATATTGTAATCCACTATTCATTTCATAATTTTAGATGAATTATAGAATATTCCAAACATTTATAGTACAATACATTTTATGAAATAAATCAGTTTTTAACAATTTTGTTTCTAATAACTTATCTCGCTAACTGGTAAGTTGTTTAATCATTTAAATGTTCTTTAAATTCATTTCATATAAGATAATTCTAATGGAACTTGTCTATAAATGGTGATAATATTCAAGGGAATTTTAAATAGTGATATTAAGATTGAGAATTAGCAAGGTGTCAAGCTAAAGTGGTCAGTATGACTGACTCGGAGGTCTAACATAATTATGATTCAGTAATAATGACATCAAATCAAACTTTATTTGGAATCTCTTTCAACAAAAGTTGGTTTTCAAAGAAATCCTCAGTAAATATGAGTTAAAGTGACAATACAAATGTTTTTTGTGTAATAAACTCTGAAATATACAGTAAATGTTAAACAAAATGAAATGAAAATGAGGCAAATATCAAACTTGTTGTCAATCATCATTATTATGAACAAGACTTTTACATATTTGTGTGATAAGAACAGTGTTAATGAATTTATTAAATTACACAATTAAACATTGCTCAAATAAAATAGATTTAATACAAGTTAGACACAAATTTAAAAATTAAAATTATATAATAATTTATATCAATTTTCTTTATTTAATTTCATTTAAGGTTAATAACTATAAAAGGAATTAATCATTGAATCAATTTGAACATATCTTATAAATTGGATTATTTCAAATAGTGTTACAATGTGAATTTGTGAATCAGTACTGCTAAAATATAAGTCAACAAACTATTATCAATTATAATAAAGCATGACTTTTAAAATAAAATAATTATATTTTGTTATATGATTTGTTAACAATCATAATTAAAGCTTGTTCTATCAATTGATTAACGATAAACCTGCAAAATACTATTGATTTATATTATATTTTATGTTTTATATCATAATAACAGACAAGCATTAAAGGCGTAAAAATTGAATTTTATATTTATAGACTTGAAATAT